TACACAGGCCCCAGCACACACAGCCTCATGATTTTGAGGCAAGGTCTGTCTATGCAGACCAGGCTGGCCCCAAATTTATAGCAATCTTCCTGCCTCTTTTTCCCAAGTGCTGAGGCTCATATTTATTTTGTTTTGAGGAAGGGTCTCACTATGTGGCCATAGCTGACCTGAAATTTATTATGTGGACTAGGCCGGGATCAAATTCACAAAGAACTGTCTGTCTTTGCCTCCTGGGTGCTGAGATTAATGACATATTGGCCATGTGTTTTTGCTTGAGAATGTATTAATTACCCCAGTAAAGTTCATCTTTTTAGAAAAGGTTTATTAAAAATCTGCATGTATGTATACTTTCATGAGTTTATGTATACTATGTGCATGCAGGTTTCCTCAGACACCAAAAAGCATCAGATCTACTGGAATTGGAGTTACAGTGTGTGCTGGGAACTGAACGTGAGTTCTGAAAGACCAGTAAGCTCTCTTAACTGCAGAGTCGTACTCCAGACTCAAAGTTGTTCATCTTGATAACAGAAATGTTGCTGAGTGTGATTCTAATGCCTGTGATCCTAGCACTTGGGATGCCAAGACTGGAGATTTGCCACAAGTTAGAGGCTAGCCAGGCCTAGAGTAAGACTGTGTCTCACAAAACCAACCAACCAACTAACCAACCAATCAACCAACCAACCAATAAACCATCCAGATAAACAAAGGCAAATAAGGCTTTATTATCCCTTTTAAAATGATACACAATTTTGATTATTGCTTTAAAAACATTAATCTGTTTTATGTATTTATTCATCATATAATTCAAGTGCATATAAACCATGTCCTCTGCATTAATGATAAAGAGACATACTCCAACATTTTTCATTTTTAATTCATTGCATTTTTCACAATAATAATCTGAAAACTCTTGCAAAATATTCTTATTTATGGAAACATTAGAATACTTAAGAAATTTAATCAAGAGAATGAAAGAACTATACATTGAAAATTGAAAATATTGCTGAAATAGAAAATTATATGTAGATGGAAAGATATCCATGCTCATAAGTTGCAATAATTAGTATTATCAAAATGTTCACGCTGCCCAAGAGCAATCTACAAATTCAGTGCAAAGTCTGTTTTAATTCCAATGGCACTTTTTATGCAGAATCTTTAAAGATCTTGACTAGCTAAAAGAATCTTGCAAAACAAAAAAAGTTCGAGGTATCACACACCCTGATTTCAAATTATATTTCACCATAACAGTAATCAAAACAGCACAGAATTAGTCTAATAGTAGACACAAACCATGGATCCAAATAGAAAGGCCAGAAATAAATGCAAGCACGTTTGCCAGTATTGCAGAAAGGCCCCAAGCCAACATACCGGGGAAGGGTAATCTCTTCAATGAATGTTGTTAGAAAAACTAGATATTGGCATGGAAAGCTGAAAACAGACTATTATACCTACACAGAAATAAACTCAAAACATTTTAAACATTCTAACTCAAAGACCTAAATCAGTAAAGCCCCTAAAGAAAACATAGGAAAAATGCTCTACTAGTGTCTGGCAAAGTCTTTATGTCATCCATGGTGACCTCAAACTTATGACCCTCCTGCTTCAGTCTCCAGGAATGTGCCACTAGCCCCCAGTTCTTGGCAAACTTCTTGCTTTCACACCAAAAAACCTAGGCATAAAAGCTAAACAAACAAGTGGAACTATATTTGACTAAAGAGCATCTGCATAGCTAAGAAAAAAAAATCAACAAAATTAAAAAGCCACGTACGGACTAGGAGAAAATATGTGCAGGCCATTGATCAGGAAATAACATCCAAAATATATAAGGAGCTCACAACTCATGAACAAGTAAACAAACAATCCTATATCAAAATAGACCACAGAAATGCAAATCCAAACTACAGTGAAACCAGCTCACATCTATAATCCCAGCATTCAGGTTCTAAGGTAGGAAAATTACCAATAATTAAAGGCAAGGCAGGGTTTACATAGTGACTTCCAAGCCAGCCTCAAATATGTAAATTTTAAAAAATCAAAATAGTTGGGCATGGTGACACACACTTGTAATTCCAGCACTTAGGAGATGGGAGGCAGGATCAGGAGTTTGAGATCCTCTGCTGCATATCAAGTTCCAGCCAGTCTGTGCTGAGATTGTCTCAAAAAATTAAAGCCACAGTGCATTTCTATTTCATGCAGATGAGGATGACTTTTATCAAAGTGACAAGTGTGTGCAGAGAAGGGAGCCCTTGTACACTGCTGATAGACATGTGAACTGGTAGAACCCTTGAGGAAAACACTTTGGAGGTTCCTCAAATGTTAAACAGAACTGCCATATGATTCACATAGCAAAGGGCTATGCTCCTGGAATATTGTATTTAAAAAAGGAGCATAGCCCTTTGCTATGTGAATAAATTTGGACATCACTATGTCACAAGTAAAATAAGCCGAATACCAACAACAAAATACATGTTCTCACTTATGTTAAGACATAGGAAAAGTAAAATACACAGAAACAGGTTACTAACCATCTCTGTGAGTGGGGAGGTAGGGAAAGAAATAGTAATAGGAAAAACTTCCCGTTTTTTAGGAAAGTCTCGAAATCTAACATATTTGCTCACGTATGCCTAGGTTTATCATCTGGATTTGTGGTTGATTAAATGCTCAGTGCCCTTATCTGGAAACTTGCAAAAACGTAGGTGGGTTGACTTCCTTTTAGTTGTTTGGATGTGTTTTCATTATGTAAAATACACTTCTGAAACACTAAATTGTTTTTATTTATTATTTTTATGAGTATATTGTCTGCATGTATATAAGTGCACCTGTGTTGTGCAATGCCCTTGGAGGTCAGAAGAGGTTGTTGAATTCCTCTAGGACTGGAGTTACCAACGGCTGTTAGCCACCATGTGGGTGCTGGGAGTCGAACCTGGGTCCTTTGCAAAACCAGCAGTTCTCTTAATAGCTGAACCATTTCTGCAACCCCCATACATTTCTGAAACATTAATAAAGATGTCAAATATCTTCCTCAATAACTCACCTCCTTTTCCCTTCTTTAATCCCACACCAGTTCCTAATTCTATCCACATCTTTGGGGAAAAGAGGAGAAATGCCAGGCTAGCCAAGTAGCATTCAATTCCTATTCTAGATTTAGCTAAGCCTTGAAATCCAGCAGCACATATACTGAACGTTTGGATACTATTCAAGAATGGAATATATAGAGTAGATCAGCTTCCAGGAGAGCCAATCTTTATCCTTCTTTTTGCTCTGAATCTCAAGTCTTAAGAGCTTGTGCCCTAATCTCTGCATCTTTTGTTTGGTCTTCGGTCTCAATCTGAAACCGGAATCCACAAAAGATTGAATCAGATATACAGCTGTGAAAGCAAAAACCAGATACAGGATCCATCACCTTGATTAAACTTGTCTTAATTCTGTATGCAGGTGTTTAGTTTTACGAATGAACTTATTGTGCTCTACTTTGCTGCTCTTAAACTGGAAACTCAGGATCCACATTCCTATGAAAAGGGGAGTGTTCTACCAAGTATATCATAAACAAAAAATTAAGTTTCTGTAATAGTTCATAGTAACAATTATCTCACACTGAAGTAAAAATGTAAGCCCTGGTTTTTAAAGGTGAGTCTCTTTTAAATTTTGGTATTTATAAAATCAAAATTAATTCATTTCTGTTTTTCTCTGACAAGCTGTTCAATTTATGGTACCTAGTAATGTAGCTTCCAGGAGTATCTTAAATCTTAAAACAAAATGGCATTTTAACTAAACTTGATTATAGTATTTTTGGCTGTATCAAGTTATCTATGCTGATTGGTGGGAGATGCATAAAAATTCTGATGGCTGCCTATTTTCTGGCCAGTCTTTGTGCTAGTGTAATATTCATTTTGCAGTTATACAAATAAGTTAATCCTCTAGTAGAGATAGATTTTTACACCAGCTACTTTAGGCAATTTTTTCCTCTTTGTCCATATTTAGCCACTTTTGAATTTCCTTCCCCAGCACAAAAACACCCCAGAGTCTATGTCATCTATTAAAAACAGAAAAGCTTCTCCTATTCCATGGTTCCCCTCTCGGTGCCACACATATGCACACAGGCACTGACGCATTAGGTCTCTTGGCTTTCCTATGTAACTGAAAGTTTCATTCTTTTGCCTAACTCCCAGTATCTCAGCAAGTGGTCTTATTTAAAAAGGGTTCTTTAATAGGTAATTAAGTTAAAATGAGGTAAGTAGGGTAGACTTTTATTCAATATGACTGATATCCTGATAAAAAGGCAATCCCAATGCAAAACAGAAAATGATGTGAGAAAATGGAAATGGACACACAGACAAGGAGAAAAGTTTGGAATGGCCTCTTTCAGAGTCAGCCCTCAGAGCCATCTGACCACACCTTCGACTTGGAACTAGTCACCCTTCATAACTAGGAGATAATCAGGCTTGGCATATTTCTATAATTTCATTTCCTTTTATTTTGAAACAACCAAAATACTCAGATGGATCAGCTTCATCAAGTAACTCCTCACGTCTATGATTAATGCAATTTGATACAATAATTAAAAACAAAAATCAAAAAATACATTTAACTTGAAAATATTAAGTAACCATTCACTGACTACTGCGAAATAATTCTTTAGAATTATCATATTAACCACGAGGTATGTTTTTAAAAGGTAAAATCTATGCAATCAGAAGCTACATAATTAAAAATCAGCTATTTCCTATGGAGTATATAAAAGCAAGAATCATATCCAATTATGTAACATAATCAAAGGTGATGCTTTTCAAGTGACTTTGTCATTGACTTTTCTGTTGGAAATATGCCACAGAATATAAAATCTTCTTAAAATGGCAGTGTACAGTACTATCCTTTCTAGAGTTGTAATATTAACGTGGCCATCAAGTCCCTCTCTACAAACTATAATCCACAATGCACGTGTACCCAAGCACTCTTGAGTCAAGGCTATCCTGCCTTACAACAATCTTCTGTCCAGTTCTTCAGTAATTCTTTCCTGCCTTTGCATGAGTTAGAATGTGAACCTTCAAGTTATTCGACTGAATAAAGCTCTTCTTACAACCTTCAAAGGGACACACAAAAGGCTTCTCTCCAGTGTGGATGCGTACATGGGTGCGCAAATTGAAGTCCAGGGAGAAGCGCTTTCCACACCCTTCGAAAGTGCACTGAAAAGGTTTCTCTCCAGTATGAACCAGAAAATGTCGTTTTAGTTTTGAGCTCTCTACAAATGCTCTTCCGCACTCTGCACACACGTGCTGGCGGGGACCATGAACAAGCATATGTTTCTTCAAGGCAGCTTTGTCCCTCAGCTTTTTCATGCACCCATTCTGAGGACAGGCCAGTATTGCTGGAGCATCATAGTCTTCACCACGTTTTGGCTTCTTTCTAGTAAATTCTGCAAGCTGTTTGGGATCTGATAAATCAACACCAGGTAGTCCTCCAATGGGAAGCTTCCTTCCTGTCATGTACTCCGAATACCCAAGTGATGAATTCTCTCCAACAATCTGTTTTGGAAGCTCTTGTTTGACTTCCCTTTTCTCCTGTTTTGCCCCCTTTTTTGTGTATTCCAAAGAAGCTTCAAGAAGGGAGCTTGCCTCAAGAACATGTTGAGAAAGGGCTTGTTTCGATTCTTCTGTTAGGCTTTCAAAGGACTTAAAAAGTAAATCCTCTTCCAAAATGGGTTCAGAAAATTCACCTCTTATTATACACTCTATGTAGCAATCAGGGAAGTCATCTTCCTCAGCAGCCTCATGGCTAGACTCACTGTGCACATCTTCATCGTGAATGGTGTATGTTATGTGGAGAGGTTCCACCTTTATCTTCTGGACTTGCCTTGGTTCAGCATTACTGCCAGCTCTTCTGTCTGGGCCTTTCTGGTCTCTTTTCTTTGTCCTTTTCTTCATTTGTCGGTTCATGTTGTCTTGCCTAATTCCTCCTTCAAAGCTTGCACCAGGATTAATGTTAATCACTTCCACTTAGCAGTGATCTGGAAGAGTCACCTCCAGCAAACACCTGTTTTTGGACAATAACCTGAAGTTAAAATGTATTCCAATTCTAGAGCCCTTGTCTGAAAATGACCTCAATAAATGGTATGGGGATGGTAAGATGGCTCAGCAGGTGGAGTTGCCTGTCACCAATCTGACAACCTGAGTTTTATCCCTGGGGCCCACAGGGTGGAAGGAGGGAAGTGACTCCCACAGATTGTCCTCTGATCACCACATGTGCACCACACATGAACACATACAATCACACAGAAAACAATGTTTTGCATATTATGAAGAGAAATGGCTTCTAACAATCTGTTTTGACTAACTTACACTAAATTCCCAAGACAAAAAGAAAATGAACTCTGGAATGGGACACATCTGGGAATTTTCACTGGGCCATCCCACCATCTTGATGATCTAGTATTGACCACGCACTCAGTACAGGCCACTCCAACTCCAGTCTGCTCATTGCTTGTGACACAATGAGTAAATAAACACAAAAATCTGTGCCTCCGTGAACATATGTGCCTCATGAACACGTAAAATGAAAAATGCAAGCTAGTGGTATGGCTCAGTTGGTCGTGTTTTTGTCTAGCACACACAAAGCCCTGGTACTATCTATAGCATAGCATAAAGTAGGTATGGTGGTACATGTCTGTAACCCCAGTACTTGTGAGCTGGAAGTAGGAGAAGACGTTCAAGGTCATTCTCAACTACACGGTAAGTTTGAGCCCAGCTGGGCTATATGAGACCTTGCCTCAAAAATAAAAAATAAATAAATAAATAAGCAATGCATACCAGGCATTATTAAGCTGTAAAGATAATTAGGATAGAGTAACACATGCACTGGCAGAAAGTATAAGTATGCAATTTTGTTTTTTAATTTTATTTATTTGTTTCACTTTTATTTTATGCATATGAATGTTTTGCTTGCATTTAAGTGCACACACAATCATGCAGTGCCTGAGAAGGCCAGAAGAGGGTGATGGATCCCCTGGAACTGGAGTTGTTTAGCAGCCACGTGGGTGCTGAGAACCAAACCCAGGTCCTCTCCAAGAGCAGCCAGGGCTCTTAACCACTGAACTATCTCTCCAGGCCCAAGTTTGCAATTTAAAACAAGGTACTTGTTTAAAACCTACTGAGTTGGCTAGTGGCAGATGATGAAAACATTTGGAGGCAGGGAACAAGATATTCCTGTTTTCTATGTAAATGCTATGAAATTGAAATGAAAAAAAAAAAATACTGATGAGGTTCTTGACACAGCCAGAGCCATACAAATGCCAGGGCTACGTTTTATTCTTTTTTACTCATCCTACAAGTTACACTGGACTCTGTTGCTTTTACTAGGAGAGGGACAGCAACTTTGTTCTGTACAGAGACAGAGAGATGCTGGTGAGCCCTCTCTCTCCAAACTATTCAACTCTGTTGAAGCAGAAAGCAGCAACAGACAGTGAGAAGCCATGAGGAGGCTGAGTTACAGTAAAACAAGGAAAGGCTAGATTTTACCACTGAGCTATAGGTTGCTGGCCAGTTATTCTAGAGCATTCTCTGAAATCCTGAAAATAAAACATGAAATCTATAGCATCCTCATCTCTTGTGAATACAAGGCAAAATAAAGGTGCAGATAATTTGCCTCTCAAGTTTTCCATCATTTCCTAAAAAAACAACAACTAAAAACAAGACCATTTAAAAGTTACAGTGGTAATGTGCTATTGCTGTGTTTCTAACAGCCTTTTGCTTAATGTTAAAATTGAGTGCCTGATAAAAGATCTCTCTATTGTTCAGATGTCTTGCTGAAAGAACAGAAATTAAATGCTCTTTAAATAAGGGCACAGTGAAAGCAGTGGGGTGAGAATTAACAGCTTCAAAGTACTTTGAAATAGCCATGTTAAAAAAAAAAAAGGTAATTTAAAAAAAGACACATGGCATTCATTCGCTTTTGGAAAAATAGATGAATACATCGAGCAAAACCAAAATACATTTCAACTGCTAAGCTTTTGGAAAAATAGATGAATACATTGAGCAAAACCAAAATACATTTCAACTGCTAAGGCAAGAGTTTAACATTTCTTAAAACTTTATATAAAAAAATTGTTACAAGGGCTGAGACTATAGCTTGCTTTGCATGTCCAAAGCTTAGGACAGATCCCCTGAAGCATTAAAACAGACAACCCCCTATTGTTTATGTCACTTAAAGTGGTAAAATAAATCAGGGGGACTGTGTCACTAAGATCATATACAAAAGCCTTTCTTTCTCTATTAAGTTCATTTAAAATAACTACAATTTGATTTGATTTTCATTTTTCTCTCCAAATTTATCTCTGCCATCCCCACTTCCCTTAGTTTCTTCCATTGTTCAAAAAAGATTTTACTAGCCAGGTTTTGTGGTGTATGCACTCCTTTGATCCCAGCACACTGGGGGCTCTCTGTGAGACTGAGGTTAGTATGGTCTACATAGTGAGTTCTAGAGCAACTGGGGCTACAAGGACACCCTATCTCAAAAAAACAGAAACATAACAAAACAAACTACCACCACCAAACAAAACAAGAGTATACTGATAGTTTATTTAGAAAATGCTGATCAATCCTTGCATGGTGACACCCATCAAAAGTGTAAGAATTATATAGCAAGAACCCAGGTTTCAAACCTACAGTATGTTTTTGAAAACGAGCAAGAAAGAAGTTCAGGGAAAAGGTAACAGCACTCCTAAGAAACTAAAATACTTCTAAGCATGTGTTGGTAAGAAACCAAGCAGCAACTCTAAATTGCCAACTAGGGCCTGAGGCTAAAAGAGGCATGATACCTACTATACCTGTTGAGATTGGCCAGCCCCCCAGACCCCTCAGAATCAGTTAGTCTCAGATGTAAATTTTGACAAGGACAGGGCCTCTAGAAACCTCAGCACATGCCCTCAGTCCTCCTTGGAGCCAGCAGTGGAACCTGAGGAGTATCCAAGGAAGACTGTACTTTGTCTCAGCCCTTTGCTATAGCTTTCCCAGCACCTCTGCTAAGAGCACTCTTGCTAAGGGCATGGTGGCACCTGCCTGTAATCCTAGCACCAGACAAGGATTAAGAGTTTAAGGTCATCCATCTTTACCTACATTGTGAGTTCTAGGACAACCTGGGCTACAAGAGACTACCTAAAAACAAACAATGCCCCTCTCATATCCCAAACAACAACACACCAAAAAGGAAAACAAAAGTTCAATAATAGGGCCAGCTGGTAAGATTGTCACCAAGTCTGATGACCTAAGGTCAGTCCTGGGGATCCACATGGTGCAAGGAGAAAACTGACTCCTGTAGGTTGTCTTTCTGACCTCCACTTGTACACCCCCACCCACACCACACACACAAAATAAAAAAATGTAAAAAATGAAACCAGAAGTAAAAACCTCAGAAATAAAACCCCAAATTTCTTTTGTAGCTTACAGAGGTCACGCATTGATTTCATTAAAGTCAAATGCAGTGGCAGTAAGTGCATTCCTAGAACTTGTGCACAAGTAAGAGGAGGGCATCCTCCCAACACGTTGCCCTGTTGAAGAATGGGCGGACACTGGGACCCATTGTCATGTGTCATGGTTGACCCTGACTTTGAATTACTTATGAAAAGCTGTCTGCCTTTGAGTTGCTGCAAGGTTAGCAGAGTGGGTTAGAAGTCAAGGAACTCCAGGTGGGATGCTTGGTTGGATTATGGAATGCTAAACTAGACAGGGCTCCAGATGCTTTCTTCACACAGCTTATTTTTGAGATGGGAGCTCGTGTAGCCATGACCAGCCTTTCATGAACTCCTGATCCTCTTGCTTATACCTCTTGAGTGCTGGGATCATAAACACATTGGGCTCTAATGTTTTAATTCTTTTATTTTATTTTATTTTTTATTTTTTTTTTAAGATAGCTTCTATGTAGCCCTAGCTGGTCTGGAACTCCTACGTTACAGAAAGGCCTCAAACTCACAATGATCTGCTTGCCTCTGTCTCCCCACAGTGCTGAGATTAAAGATGTGTGTCACAGTGCCCAACCCAATTCCCCGACATTTTAATTAACCATAACCTCTTCTTAGAGTAAGGCATTTCATTCGTCCATTGTATATGTTCTCTCACTAACATTGCCCATTTTTCCCTGCCTCTGTAAATGTGTATGAACATAAACACACAAAGGGTTTGCCTACCAATACTTTAGATCTCATCACTTCCTCAGATAATCTCTTAAATCTTAAACTCATTTAGATTCCAGACTAAATATTCCACAACTGCCTATCTGACAATGACCAGCACTCTTGTTACTGTCTATTAAATAGTTCAATTTTAGCCCAGTGTGGTGGCACATGTCTTTAATCCCAGCGCTCGGGAGGCAGAGGCAGGCCTCTGTGAGTTCAAGGCCAGCCTGGTCTACATAGTGAGTTCAGGTCAGCTGGGACTACAGGGAGACCCTGTCTCAAAAAGACAAAAAAAAAAAAAGTTCAAATCTTACCTTCAGGCTGGACTATACACTCTACTGAGAGCAAAGATCTCCGCTGTCTTCTTCACCACCTGCTCCAGCTTTTTATTTCTCTAGTGAATGAATTTATAAACATGCATTATTTATCATATTTGTGATACCTGATTTAGAAATCTCGAAAACATTAATTTATTCAGAACTTTAGACACCTAATACAGAAGTTTCAAAAAGCTGTTTATCAATGATGCTTACAAAATACTTCTAGAATGACATTTCCTAAAATCAGAGTTAGGGAGATAGGCATTTCATGAATATAACATGGTCCAAGTATAATTATTACTTTCGTGGTTGAATTATCTATCAAATTGTTGCTATGCTTTCCACAATATGCTACCTTGTAAGAATGGCAAGAAAAGTTAAGTTGGTAATCTGTTAGTTATTATAAAACTGTTTATGTGACAAGAACCTTCTACCTTTCCTTATTATTTTA